TGATGAACAGAAAAAAAAAATCAAGTTGGACTTGATTAATTTCTGAATTCTGTGGGCGCTATTTTCGTAGACAGGCGATTGTGTGCTTTGTGTAAAGCTCATCTTCATTTTCATGCCGGGACAATTTGGTGACACAAGTATTTTGCACTCAGAGTGAAAACGGGCGCATCTTGAATTAATGTCGCGGCAAGTCTAGTTTAGTCCCTTTGTGAATTTGGCAGACTGCGCTGTGCCTTATTAGGCATTCTATCGCACGCCCCACACGTCTATCAATTTCGTGACCAAAAGTAGAATACTTTTTAGACAAACTAAAAGCAGGTCTAAGTTGTGGTGCAGGTGGCGTAACGCGATTTTGATGGATTTGATCGTGGCATCGGCAGACAGATTCTGAGCTCCGTTGATGTGTCTGGTGGATGTCAGTGCAGACCCCAGCGAGTCAATTCCTGCTTCCGCAATGTCAAAGATCACAACGGAGCACAACGGCTCAAACTCCGCCTTCTACCTGCGCGGCTTTAAACCGCTGCAGATCGTTAGACTGCGCTATAGACTTGCTCATGTAACTCGCGCTTCGAGGCTCAAAATTGTGTTTGAAAAGTACAGTTTGGGATTCCTCGTTTCTTTTCAAAATTGTGAATGCCTACTGAAACGAGATGACAAATTTAAGCCTGCATTGAAGCGCATTATGATGCGAGACGGCCTCTGATAAACTCGTTTCGCGTTGTCTAATTCGAACTTGTTTACCAAAAAAATAGACGAGTCCACCTTTATTCCCTACTCTGTTATCGGTTATATCTTGTCATTCATTGCAGGTGTGTAACATCGTGTACACCAATGAATATCCAACATACTGACGCTTATTTTGAGGAAAGGTCAATGTGTTTGCCGTCTTTTTTGGGGGGGGGGGGAATTGTTGAAATTCTTGTTATTGATTTAGGCGCATAACAACCGGCTTCTTTCAGGAGTTGTTCAGCCGCAAAGATCAGCGAAGAATGACAGCCCTGATATGAATCATTTACGCTTTAATTTCATGGCCATTCTGTTTGCTATCACACACGAACACCTGTGGAACTCCTCACAGCCCTAAATTGGGAGAAGCTGCACACTTTGATAAGCCTTTTCCTTGAAGCTTAAACACCGTGGCGTCGTGTGAGGGCAGATATGTGTTAATCAGGAGTTTACCAAAGAGCTGCATTGATATACAGACGATTTATTATTATGATTATTTTATTTTTTTTTTTTGGTAAGATTTTTCAGATATATGCCGTTTCTCCCGCTGATCTCACTCGGTAGCAGCCTGTAGAGACCTTGTTGTAAAAGGCTGCAGAAGATAAAAGATGGTGGGTTAGTGGCTGTGGGGAGGTCGTGACCTCTCGGTCTGTTCTCATTTTTATTACTTTGACACTGCAGGTTGTGATGATGTCTCGAGGGGAACCACTTTTGTTCCATGTGTGGCGCTATTTACACAAAGGACCTCTTTTGTACCTCCTTAAATCATCTGTATAACCTGCACTGCACGTGATTTTTTTTTTAATTATTTTTTTTTTAAAACAATAAATGCAAACTGGTAATCACACCTTATTAGAGGCCGGCACTTATGTACACCATAAAACAACTGCTCTCATTAGACTTGCTGACATCTGTAAAGTTATGTACGATCCTGTCGAATAAACATTACTGTACCTGTTGCAACGTTTTACATTTCTTCCTCCCTGCCCCCATTTAATTTTAATAAATCAAGCTACGATAGTTTTATAGCATGTATTCACAACTTGGAGGTAACAGTACGTGTGTCAATTGAGACCCCCCCCCCACACACACACAGACACACACACGCACACGCACATGTACTGTAGGTATAGTAAAATAAAAACTCAATGACCTTCACACTTGCACGGGTGGAAAACAATAAACAAAAGGTAAATGCGAGGTCTTAAGCTTCTTAATCGCGCTACTTGCCCGCATTTGCGCAGATAATCCTGTAACAATAAAACCTAATGTTCCAAGGTGAAAGCACACTGCCATTCGTAGTATATTGTTCCTTCTGTTCCAATAGGGGCTTCCAAGGATCTCATCTTATTGGTTAGTTTACGCGCCCGGCATCAATAGTATGATCTGCTAGCCCTCAAAGTGTACCTGCCCGGCCTAAAATCATCAATAGTATGATCTGCTAGCCCTCAAAGTGTACTTTTCCTGCCCGGCCTAAAAAGATTACGATTACTACGACTTGTTCACCGAGAATTATTGTCTCCCCCGCTTTGACATATTTTCATTTCGGCTGATTTTCACAATCTATTTTAACGGCTGGCAAAAGAGGCTTAACCTTCTTGACATTTATTATGCGGCTGGATCTTGCCATTTTCCTCCCAAACCACAAAGTCAATGGGCCGAACATCTTAGTAAATTACTAATATGGAAATGATCATGAAGATGATCCAGGTGAAACAGAGACGACGTAATTGCTGGCACTCTGGTTATCCGGTGCAAAGGGGGCAGTGCGTATTTTTGGCTTGATGGCCTTAGGGGCCCGACAGTTTTGAACCACAAAACTACATATGCATGAGTATGTAAAAATGTGGGGAAACAATCGCTACACCTCACCTGCCCTTGATTTCACTTTCCTCAAAGGAGCCATTCATCATAAGTTGTGACCTAAAAAGGTACTGCTGCAACATTTCTCCAAAGAATTGCATCATCTGTGGCTAATTGGTCGACATGGCTCTGATCGTATCACAGGTACATTCTTAATACAGTTGCTCATCCACCATGCGTGTAGAAAGTACAGAAAAGCCGTACCGTTCTCTCTCCTCACAATTTTTAATACGTACAGCTTCAGCGGCAATGTAAGATGGATACGGTAACACGGCAAGATACTATAAATCGTAAAAATAATAAATGCGGAAACACAGGACTCCTGACCCAAAAGGAAGATACAGTAGGTCAGAAGGCGCGCTGGAATTTGGTATTCCGAGCATGACATGTTGTCTTGGCGCAGACGAGGCAGACATAGTAATTGAGTTTCAATTGGTTAAGCCCGAGGCTAAGTGCTAAAACAAATCTTTAAATGAAATTCATTACAAGCAGGGTTTCCATACTCAGGTGTTATTGAATTCATTTCTCATTGTGACCTGATTTAGAGAGATAACAGTAATAACTGAGACTGGCAGAAATGATGGCAATGAGAAAGCGCATCATGGTTTCCCTTCAAACGCATTAAAACATAGTCAGTCTCCTTGGCTTAATTGAGCTGCGCAGATGCTTCTCGCCTTCATTTTGTTTCTGCTGTTTTCCCCCAGCAGGGTACGCATTTCTTAAATGGATCCATCTGCACCGAAAGAATAACTTTTATGAACGGTTGGAATTGGCTTCGTAAACTGCGAAGGGTTCCAAATAATAAGCAAACATGAAAATGCGATGAAAGCCGGAACGAAAAGACACCAAGTGTATCTGGGAGAAATTCATGGCAATGCATTTAAGGATGACATTGCTGTGTGATTTATTAAAAGTGCAAGGTTGATGAAAACCCGCCGCCACCCCCTCCCCACACTTCCCAGTGTCACATACCTTCATGCCAGTGAAATTAATGGGGAAAATTAAACTAATAACATAACAAGCACAAGACGGGCAAACATGCTCATCTGATGCATCCAGCTTGTTATTTGGAGGCGTCACTAGCCCGGGATTCTCATTTTCTCCGTGTCATATTCAATCAGTGATTCCTGGTCAGAGTAACAGCGACCCTCCACCATCATGACTATGGCTAGTCAAACCACGGCTGTTGTAGCTCATCTCCAGATTTCCTTTTTATTTTTATTTTTTTTCAATTTACCGTAACGTTTTGTGTCTTACCATATATACCGTCCAACTTAAGTTGTTTTCACGAGTAAAGATGGACATTTGACTTCATTTCCTTGTTCCATTCTGGAAAATTAACATTCAGTTATTTTTTTTTTTTTCCAAATGAGATAAGAGAATCCCTTTCGGGATGTTCACAATTCTTTTTTTAACGACCGAATGACATTGCATATCGGAGTTTCATTCATCGTGGGGCGCTAAGGAGTGAAGACTGACTCCACAGTGCCTCTGCTGGTTGCAGCAAAGTAGTGCACCCCAATTTGCCTAAATGGCTGCAAGACGTGCTGAATCATCAGTCAGTTCCGCACAATTGAGCAAGTTCTTAACGAACAATTAATCGATATTAGACTCATCCCATGTTCGGATATTGTTGGACACCGATCAGCAGTAATGAATATGATTTTTTTTTTCTTCCCCCAGTGGTTCATTGCCCAGTCAAATTAATGTATTTTATGCCTTGAACGTGACAAAGGAGCTCCATCAATTGAGCGCTGACGTGGATCGTAATTAGGGAGACATGACCAGCAACTTATCTGTAGAACGGATGACATGGCATTAAATGTAAAAGTTTGTACGGGTAATGTGATTTTTGTTGACTGATATCACTGACTCACCTACCGCTCACAATGTGAAATGAAATAAACGCTTGGTTCAATTTTGGGGTTCAATAAATTGGAAAACTTTAAGTGGTCAGCAGAGCGAAAGACAAAGGGGAGTAATACCGGTAATAATCTTATTCAGTTATTTATGATGCAGGCTTTAGGAAAACAAATCCTGGTTTGATATTGTTTTGTCCTTGTGCACTTAATTTGTGATTGCGGTTCCGATAACTCCATTGTGAATGCAGCCTGAGTTTAACAAAATGCTTTCCACTTTTAAAAAGCCGACCACATGGCTTAATGCGACTTGATTATGCAGCATTTATGAACCTTTTAAATGCTTTGATTAGTTAGTAAAAAGTCACATTTGAATCTTTTGAATAATGAATTTGTTGCTTTGAAATGCCAATTTTTATTCTTCTGTCTATTCAGTCATGTCACTGATTGCACTCTGGCCATTTATGTGGGATTAGAAAATAGGCAATGTATTGCTTTTAAAATATTTTGACATCTCTGCTCTTTCTTTTTTTTTCTGCCCCCCCCCATCAGATTGATCCTAAGGTTGCCTTTCCACGTCGCGCCCAGCCTAAGGTAAGAAGAATAAATTGGTCACCTTGCTTCCTAGAAGAAAATGATTATGTCTCGTGTCACCACCATACGTAATTTTCTGTGGCCACACAGCAGATTCAAAGAGGCAGTGGTTGTCTGTTTGCTTTAGAGAAATACCTCGTCTGGCTCCATTGTTCCCACATTGTTTCTGCTCTGCACATTTAAAAATATCTCTCCTTTTTATCGTCACTGTTTTCATGCTCCCACTCAACGCTATTGTATAGGAATAAAACCCATTTCGGGGAAATTGATTTATTTGCATTTGGAGACTAGCGTGCAACCATTGTTTGACTTGGCTGTGACAAAAAAAAAAAAAAAAAAGCTGAAAGAATGTGGAATACACACAATGTCCTGTGCAATACGTGGCGCGTTGGTGGCGCGTGTCTTTGTGGAATTTTTGATGACATGAATGGTCGGGTATATAAGAAGATTTAATGAGGAACGGAATTGTCTTCTGCACTGACAAATATGAAATCACCGTCAGTGCTTTTCTTTCGTATTCAAAGTCAAAGAGGAGAGATTGATATAAGCCGCGTCACAATTAGCACGGAGACAAAACTCTAATCACACTGGGGCTGTTGTTCATGATGCATATTATCGTTTCTCTTGATTGCCGGTCTTGAGCGTCTCTATTGACAGTTAAATATGCAACGCGTGCAGATGGTGCTGCAGCACGGTCGAAGGCTTTGTTGACATGCCCTCTTACAACCTGCCTCCCCTTAGCGTTTAGTGTGAAAGCTGTAGCACGCCAGGGTGTCGCGGAGCACTTTTATGCGTCACTTTTGGGACTTTTGACTCAGAACTTGGAAATGTCTCGGAGATTCTCTCTTTCTACACGCTGAAGTTTGCCGTGTTCCCATTAAGAAAGAACGTCCCACATATTTTGCATTTTAAACTCGTTTGTCCCGCTTGCTTCGCCGCTCCCCGCCTGCCCGCTTGGCGGCTCTCGGCTTTGGTTGGATTTGCCCCCCGGTTCGAGTTTTAGAGGAGCTCAACTCGGCAGGTGCACTTCGCCAATCAAATCGCGACGCGTCCAATCGGCAGTCACGTTCTCACGGCGACCGATGACCTCATCGGCAACCACGACAATGACCCTTTTTCGCTGCCGAATGCTGCAGCACAGTAAAACGCCGCATTTATGTACGGCACGTAGACTAATGCTGGAAACAGACAGGAAGTGAAGGTGAACGCAGAGGACATTTGGCTGTAAACAAGTGAAGGTGTTTGCACCGGGGATGACAGGATCACGGGAAAAACAACTTGGATCAGACGGCGTTGCTCCCCGTGGCCAAACACACGGACACCTCCGCTCTGAGGAAGGCGCTGGCAAAAGTGTTTTGGCAGCAACTATTAAGAAGAAAACCTTGCAAGTGCCTAACTTTGAACGGAAGGAAAATAGTAAGGGAGAAAATGATTTTAGGGCATACCTGGATCAAAAGGGTTAAAAATACCAAATCAACCACAAAGCATGCACACGGGCGTCTGCTTCTAGCTGTGCATTGGCAGATCGCGTCGATGTTTGATTTCTGTGATCTGGCTTCTTGGCGACCATCAGCGTTGTCAAGGTCACAAAGGGGGAGGGGACAAGGGGGGGGGGGCAACCCCAGGTTGTGCACATGATAGAAAACATGCTTAAGAAATGCAAGCTGTTGTCCAGAAACCCGTCACGGTTCTGAAGCTTATCTCGAATATTCAGCATAAGAAAGGCAGATAGATCAAACGTGTCACAAGCCGTGTATATTCAAGGATGAGAGTGCATCTGAAAATGATCATTCGATACCGTGCTATCGCTAGATGTATCGATGCATGTTTGTATAGCGTACATTTACGAACAATGGACAGCTCATTCACTGAATTTACACAGAACATGCACATTAGAACACAGGCATCGACATGAGCCGCTGTGGCGTCGTGATATTTGGTCGAGTAAAGTTGACAAATCGACTAGTCTCTACAAACGCCGGGTCCAAATAGCATTGTCATCTTCCACTGTTGTTCTTCTACGTGTTGCCATTGTTTTGACAGAATCAGTAAATTGGTATTCAGATTTGCCGAGGGGGCTTCTGATGACAAAAACTTGAGGCCTTGTCTAGTTTGCTGAAAAAGCCACGGATGAATCAACTGAACACCTACTCGCTGCATCTCATTGCATCATGAATGCAGTTGGGAGATGATTGTGAATCTCTGTTACCTGACGCTTTGTGGGGAAACCCGCTCAAGTCCGAGGCTCTTCCTCGCAGCCGGTTTCTTCCTTTTTCTTCCATTTAAAGGTCAGCCATTCAAATGTGTCTCATCGTTAGCCCCGAACTCAAAACAATCGTTTCATTTAAAAATAGATGATGGGATATCTGCAAAAAGCCAGCGGTCCTGTTGAAGTTGTGAGCATTCAAATTGTTCGTCAAACGACAACAGCGTTTGTCCTGTCAGCATGTATTGACGGCAATTTAAAAGAGGCTCGAAAAGGAATTAGGCGCTTAATCTCAGGCCCTGGTACGCCGAGGCGCTCGTTTTGTAATGTGACGTCACTGACATATGATGGGGGGGAATTGTCACCTCCCTCAAAGGCACAGCCACCGACAGACGAAACAAATTCCGGATTGATGGCGCCGTATTTTCCTGATATAGCTAGTTTGTGTTTTGCGTCACGCGTCTTAAATCTATATCGTGCTAGCTCGAGGCGCTGCAAGGAGGAGCTGCAACGCACTTCTGGCCGAGCGCCAAGACACGAGCATGTGATTTATGGCATGTCTCTATATAATCTCAGTTTTTATTTCCTCATAGTAAATATAAGTGAAAGCTATTCACTCCGATGGTTTATGTTGATGCAGCCGTTCCATAAGAAGTTATGCCTGTTTTTTTGTTTTTTTGTGTGTGTGTGTGTGTGTGTGTGTGTGTAATGATCTTCCCTCCTTTATTCCTTACTACAAATTATTTTGCAGACAAATGAAAGTTTAACAATCCCGACAGTGATCATTAAGTTGCACATGCAGGCACGTAAGGAGAGGTAGAAGACAATGTCTGAGCTTGAGCGGAAGGTGGTTTGGAAACTTGCTCAAGGGCACCTCAGCGGTAGTCAAGAAACAGACTCGCATCTGCAAATCTGCTTTTTTTTTTTTTCTGGTTTGCAGTTGGACTCAAACTATGATGAGATCCCGGTGCACTCTATTTTAACGTCAAAATTTTGCGTTTTCAATGACCTCAAAGCACCACCAACACACAATAGTTCAGATCCACTTTCTTGCCCGATTGCCTCGCTCGATCTTTCCCAGGAATCGCGTGACAAGCCCCCCCCTTGTGTTTCTCGGGGAAATCAAAACCAGCCTTCCGCCGCCCTTGCTCTAAATTCGCCTTTCAACGGTAGGTGTCATCCGCTGCCGCCGCTTTAGTTTCTTCCCACGGTGGAGTCGCACACAATCACGGCAGGTCTCAGCATTATTTTAATCGCCGGTGGGACTTGCGGCCACTTCGGTGGGAGATGAGTCGTGATGGCTTGTTTTCAAAATTAAAGGACTTAGCGGCATCTTTTGGGAGAGCGTTGCCCGTAAACCTTTCCTTGCACCTCTCGAAGAGCTTTTCGCCCCCCCGCCGCCGTCCCTCTTGCTCTGGTTGTTGTTGTTGTTTCATGGAAATTTCTGCATGCACAAAGAAGACTGTCCACAAATAAAATGTGACCTTAATCGAGGCAGCTGTGACAACACTCTGCGGAACGGTTTGTATTTTATTTGTAAGACCCTTTCCCCCCCCCCCCCCCCTTGTTACTTAACCCGTATGTTTTGAATGTCATTGAAGAGAAAGGCTAAGCATGCTCGCGCATTGATTGAGGTAATTCAACGACGTAACGTCAAAGCGCCGTCCTATATTTTACTCCAGGCTGACACCTGTGACTGCGGCTTCCCTTTTAACGGCAGACTGTCAAAGCTGCATGGCTGGCAGCTATGTCTTAGTTCTGCTTTTTCGTTCCACACATAGCTCCTTTTTATCCATTTCATTTCCTCTCTCTATTGCACGCATTCGCAGTCACATTTTCTGTGACTGGCAAATTGACTAGTCGTCCTCACTCCGTTCTGTGGGACACTTTGCTTAGGATTGATTTGAACGTTTAAAAAAAAAAAAAAAAAAAAAAGACTATTCAGTGTATTGTGGTTCAAGAGAGCCAAGCCTTACATTTAAATAAATTCGAATAACAATGCTGTGAGAAGTAAATATATCCCCCTGGGTTACTGCTTCCGTGCAAAGGCACATGCATATGTGCATGTATATTTCATATTCCACTCTAATATTCCTGTCTTACCTGATCTCTCAATACCTTGCACGGCTACTGTCTATTGCGCTCTTTGGCACCTCTTTGAGGATTACCCCGCCTTGCAAATCCAGTCGTACACCTTGCTCTGTTATTTGATCTAGATTTAGCATTATGATATTCCCCCCATCTCAAAATGATCCTCATTTTAAATGACACAGCTCACTGCTGGGTAAATGAAACCTCAGTGGCTGCCAGGCCCTTTGAATGTCTCGGGGAGTTTATTAAAAGCACCAGCTTCCCTGTTCCAACTCTCCACAGCTGCATGAGTCTGAAAGAATAATCAAGGACAAAAGTCCTCAGTGAAGAACAGAGTGCTATATCAGTAGCTTTTGTTCAGCTTGACAATGAGCCCTTCCAGATATTTGTCATGTGAAGCGGGATATTTTTAATTAGACCCCTCCCATATTCCAGGGCATTCCCGCAGCACATATAGACTCCCGAGTAACCAAATGAATACGCTGCTGTGTTTCCGACAAAGCTGACATCACATTTCGGGAGATATGGCACGCGACACGTCGCTGCAAAATAAGCGAGCAATCCCGCAGAACAGACATTGGTTGTATTTCTCTGGATAAATGGGATTTGAAATGGGTTTTACATACTCTATTGTAACCAAGAGACAGTCCATAGTGAGCAAAGACATGCCAAACACAAGCCGGTGGTTTGTCATGCCCCTCTC